GCTGCAAGATACTCCCCGGATGCTGATTGAGTATCGCAAGAAGATTCTCGCTCTTGTTGAGCACGCAGGACCTCTTGTGTCTCGGTCGGTGTCTTGGACGTATTTTGGGGTTTCACTTTGTAACTTCTTCCGGACAAGTCCTGTGTGGACGCCGTTCTGCGGAAGCACAACAAGTACTAGACATAAACAATCTTTTCGGTGCGCAAAGGCCAGTCGCGAGCTGAAAAGCGAGAGTAGGCCGGTTTTTCTGTGAGACAGTCAAGCAGTCAATGACAAGCATAGGGCATAGTGGTTGGTGAACTACATCTCAGAAAAGCAGTGTCCTAGAGTGAAGGAAACGTTATCGCTGCTCGCATATCGATTGTCGCGTCGCCTTGGACAAACTTGTTATATGTTATGAACACAAAACTGCCTCTTGTCATGTCAGGTGGGTGATGTATATGTCATAGTTTTGTATGGGAGGTGTTTTGTTGTTTATGGCATTTTATGTGTGATACATATTTGGTGTGTCCGAACGTGGATGATCGCTGAGGTACCAGGTATGAGCAGACAGAGGACAATAGCTGCCAACTTTGATGAGCGCTTGCGTTGCCCTGCAGGCACGAGTGAGGAGGGCCGAGTGGAAGCTGCCTGTGTGGTGTGTGCTCGACGTTTTTGGGCGCATGAGTTGAACAAGGTGCTACTCTTCACCGATCCTGCCCAAGCAGAAGGGCTACCACAGCTCCCGGATGGAGTGGATGCAGCAGTCCGTCCATCCCAGCAGCATCGACTGTGCCGCCTGCTGGGAGTTCCGCGCTATGCTGAGCGCTGGCCGCACATTGCTTTGGAGGAGTTGCAGAAGTCTGCCGTTGAACATCCTTTCCTCCCAGGTGAATATGTGCTCTTGCACCGGCGGCGCATGCCGGAAGACCCCCGACAGCCGTCCCCTGTTTGCCGGGACTGCCGCACCAGCCTGACAGCCCAGGTTCTGACGTTGCCGCGCCATGCCCTGGCGAATGACCTGTGGCTTGGCAGAGCCTTGCCAGAGCTTCGTTCCCTGTCCGCGGGGACGAAGCGGCTCTTGCCCCTGGTGCGTGTGTGCATGCAGGTCACCGTCCTGCAGCCGGTGGTGCTTCCCCATGCCGAACGGCAGAAGGGCTTCATCGGGAACACCATCTTTTTGCCGCAAGCCAGTCCGTCCGCAGTCGAAGCAGTGTTGCCACCCCGCGCAGAGGACATGGCCGAGCACATCTTGTTCGTCTTGGTGGGCCACAACAGAGGCGACCTGCGATCGTCGGCCACGATGCAGGCACCTCGAGAGGAATACGTTGCCGCTGTCGGGCGAAAGAGCTCTTACAACGGGGACCGGCGGACGCTCAAGGCCAAGAGAGCAGCCAGCAGGAGGAGGACGACGCTGGCATGGCGGAGGACACGGCGGAGTCCGGCGAGCGAGCGCACGAAGATTCAGGACAGTTGCGTTTGGTCTGTGGGTTGGTTGGTCGTCGTCTCACATTTGAAACTACTGATTCTATATAGACATATACAGATAGTGATCTCTCGTTGCTTGGCTTACTTCTTGGCACACTCCTGCTTGGTCAGGTCATCTGATTTCCAGCATTGTCGGCCTGAATGACACCTCGGACGATGAGAATCGTTGGTTGCGGGTTTGCCGAGACGTGGAGGATCTGTGTCGTCGAAAGCCTCGACAGTATGACACTGATGCAGAGCTGGTCGTGCGCAATCGGGCCAACAATGACCTGGGTGTGGATGCTGCGCAGATGGAAGGAGCAAATCTACTGGGTCGAGAAGGTGCGCACGAACGTGGAGTCCTTCGTCGCATCCGCCAAGTCCAGACTGTGGCCGCGCATGGGGTGGAGACAGAGCGACAAGCGCAAGGGCAAATGTTTGAGGTCAGGCCACAGAAGTTGGTGGTGCCTTCTCGAGATACCCCTCTGAGCATGTTTGAGCCAGGGACCTGGGCAATGGCTTTTCCTACGTTGTTCCCTTGGGGTGACGGGGTGCCTTTCTTGAAGAGGGAGACGAGCATGGAAGCTTCTGAAGTGTTTCGTTATTTACTTCTACGCGAAGAGCTCCAGTACAGCGGTGATGCAGGTGTTGAAGATGAGGTCCCTGCACTACCTCGATGGAGTTTGTCGGCCGCTCGGGACGACGATTGGTTGCGTCGCGGTGACCGTAGGAATGGACATCTTTTTTTGGGACCAGATTTCTGGTTAATGTCTTTTGTAGCTGAGTTGTTTGTTGGTTCGGACATTTTATAGTTTTGGGGTCTTTGGCAGTTACTATCGTTTAGGAATAGATATTTATATATATAAATTCTTTTGGTCACACCGACGCGTCGCTCACCCAAGGAGCAGTTGCTCCCGACGATGTATGATGTCCAACGTCGTTTGACGTTGATGCGGGCCTCCAAGGCCTATGTCAAGAGGAGTGGCTTCGGCCGCCACTGCTCGGTCATAGCCTCCGTGACCTCCGAGCACCTCCTGAAGGCTATGGCGTTGCACGGGGAGAAAGCGGACATCCGCGAGTTGCTCCGCTCCCCGGACGTGGACGTGCCGCTCAAGCGCGCACTGGGTAGTGTCCTGCAGGCCAGTTCCAACGTTCTGGGCACAGAAGGTCACCGATCTCAGATCCGTCTGCGAGGCCACGCAGCTGGGTGGCATTACGGCCCAAGTCACATTTTTGTGACACCGAACTTGGCGGACTCGCGAGCTTCTCTGCTTTTGCAATTGCATCTGCAGGGGGGCTCGCGAGTCGAGGCCTATGAGGTCGACCTGGCCTGGGACCTCGAGGCACCAGCACTGCCCTCGCTGAGCGCAATGCGTCGCATTCTAGCTGCCGACCCAGTGTCTCAAGCAAGGTTTTTTGACGTGATGATGACCTTGTTCTTTGAGGAGATATTGGGCACGTTGCCGCCGCTTACCCGCGCCAGCTTCCGAGGCGGTCTTGCCAGGGACTTCGAAGATGGTTTTGCTGCTTCCACTCATGCTGGTTGCTTTGGAGATGTGGCAGCCTTTTGTGGCCCTCTTGAGACGCAAGGACGCGGTTCCATGCACCCACATATTCTGGTTGTGCTTTTGGGGCACGACTTGGGCAATCGCCTTCGCTCTGTTTTGGCCACCGCAGCGCGTGGAGAACTGGTCATTGAGTTGGAACGCTGGAGTCGCGCCGTCCTACAAGCAGCCAGCCGTATTCGCTACGACAGCCAGCAAGCTCTCAGTCAGCAGTTGGAACAAGAAGTCTGTCCACTACCGCTGAGCGAAAATCAGCGTGCTGCGTGTGGGAGGCAATACAGCGACGTGCCACTGAGGTCAACGGAGCCAGACGGCCACGAAGCGGCGACGGAGTCCAGTACACCTCTCCGACTGACCGGATGCTTCGCTTCACTACGTCCACATTATGTCAGGAGGAGCAAGGCCGCTGCTTTCAACGCGGCCAGTTGGTCGGGCGCCCTCTGTCGCGACTATCGTCGCCTGGTCATACAGAATCACTTCCACAAGTGTACGAAGTCTTGTTTCAAGAAGACCCTCGGCGGGTGCAGAATTTTTTTTTATGATACACCTCGGACACTTTGTTCAGATGCTACGAACGGAAACACCGCCGCAGTAACAGAACGAAATGTGGACGGGACACGAACCCGGCGCGGAGGACGTTGTTCTACGCAATCGGCGCAAGGTTCGAGTGTCGCCGTTTTCGTTTCACGACATCAGCATTGTAGCCTGGACGTGGTTATGCGGATCCGATGTCATTAGTATTAGTTCAGTGTCGGACAGGGATAATAGTTGTGTTTTAGATATGCTCCGCCCACCGAGCACGTTATCTGCACCGGTCACCGAGCATGTTGACACGGCCATGCAACGTTGACTCAGGAACGCTGCGAAAGGCAAGCGGGGATGTCGATTTGGCTGCTTCCAAGTCGAACTACACAAAGAAACGGAAGACTCTGGACTGGAGAAGGTGCGCGCGCGTTGTTTGAAGGGATGGCCTCGAGTTCAGCGTGCGCAGTTTATGATTCTACCACGTGAAAATGTTCCATTGGAGGAAGAGGAGGCCATGAAGAATGAGAACCCCCATGTCTTTCAACCTCAACGGGACCATCCCTTCGAAGGCATGTCGAATCCCATAGCTCAAGTCAGCATGCGGTGCAACGTCGACGTGAAATACTTGGGACGTGGTTTTTGCGATGCCGATTTGCAGAAATTGGCTGCCAATGAAGAGGATGGAGACGGACAGGGCGGAGATGCACAGCCACCAGACGGGGAGCGCAAAAAGAAGGACAAGAGCTTGGACGCGCGGTTGCACAGAGTTGTTGTGGATATGTTTCGGGACATGCAGGATGTGCAATTTTATACTGGGGAGTACGCGAGCAAGAAGTTCGAAGTGTCTCGATCTCTGCTGCCGGAACTCTTTGCCGGCGTTCAGCGTCTTGAAGCTGAAGAGGCACAGCGTCAGGCAGCTGTGTCAGATGCAGGACGTTAGTTGACTGTTGGATTGTTTTGTCCCTTGGCAACACAGTTCCAAGGAAAAAGTAGAAGTTGTCTAAGGGAATTTACCGCCGTGCTTTTTTTGGGGTCTAGGAATATCAATACTGGCGGTCAGGAGACATGCCGAGCGGCCATGACACCGCAGTGGCGGAGGCGGCACCGGTGCCCGAGGCTGCGTCGTTGCCTGCAGAAGTGGCCAGGTTGCGTGCTTTGAGTTTATTGCGACGTCTTGCTTTTGGCATGCAGAGATGTGTTGCGAAGTCCAATGGGGAGATGGCCTACCAACTTTTGTTTCAGCAGGAGCAACTGGTCAGCTACAGTGGCTACAACATGTTCTTTCGGTTTGTGCCCTATGCCATGTTTCGTTGTCGCGCAGTGGCCTTGGACGCAGCCGCCGCCAGTGCACCTCATTTGAAAGTTCTGCCCCTGGAGCCTGTGGAGGCTGAAGAGACTGACGCAATCCCTGTGCAAGAGGTTGCTGAGGTATTCGACGAGGAAGATTTGACGGAAAGTGGGATCCCGACAGGTGGCACGAGGGTTGTGTCGCACAATCAGAAGGATGATTACTTGCATCGTGGTGCTTCAGCCGTTATGATGTCTATGTCTTTGGTTATGTATTCTCGTTATGTGCGACGAGTTCCTCGTAGCCAAGCTGGTCGCGTCGATTACGTCAAATTTTTTCCCTTTGATGAACACTATGCACATTTCCCCTTGTCAGTGCAGGACTGTTGCTTCTGTCTTTTTCTTTTTTTGGTTGCTGACGTGTTTTGTTGTTTCATGTTCAAAAACTGCGTCGATTGCGCGAAAATTTTCCCTTGTCCCTTTGACGAACACTACGCACATTGTCCCTTGTCAGTGCAGGATTGTTGCTTCTGTTTTTTCCTTTTTCATTATTGACAAACATAATTCATATATAGTTGGGCTGTGGTCGCTTTCCTGTGGATATATTCCTGCGCACGGATCCATCGCTCGGACGTCTGCGCGCCCTGTGACAGGAGTTGCGAACAGCAGACGACAATGTTGTGGTGCCTGTGGATTTGCGGCTTCCGGGGCAGAATGAAACTGAGAAATACGCTGCGTTTATGCTGGGTTTGTCGTTGCCCTTTCCACGTTGCCCGGGTGCACAGCATTGTGGAGAATCTTGGCAATGTTTTCATTGTCATGAGATTGAAAAGTTGGAAGGGAACGGTTTCCTGCGAGCCTCTTTCTCCAAGACCTGGAAACATTGGAAAGCTTGCATGCAGGTGCGTAAGGTGAATGCGCAGGAACGACTCTTGGCTGGCTTGAGTTTACCTTTTCTGCGTGACTTGGTGGGCTTACGCGAGTGGTGCGATGTGTCTTGTCTCTACGAGATGCTTCTGGATGGAGCAGACCCTGAGATCTCCGAAGAGATGCCTGCACAGGAGCCCGCAGGAGAAGATGCAGAGGACCAGGGAACTCTGTTTCCGAGCGCCTCCACACCTTCGCCTCTGTCGAGTACCTATCATTTGATGTGGCGTCTCGGGAAGGTTTTCAAGGGCAAGCATGGTCGCTACGTGGACCTACCTCGGATACACGAAAGGATTTGTTGGTCTTTGGGAATCCCTTGTGGTTTTCACTACACACAGTTGACTCCGCTGGAGCACATGTCTCATGTGCAGCTGCAGTGGTTGGAGAGATTCCGCCTGCACCACGAAGCACGACAGCTCAGCAGCAGCCAGAGGAGAGCTGAGCGCTTTGCTTACATGACCAAGGAAGAGGAGGGCGAAGACGTGGAGGAGTGCTGGACACAGCACGTGCTTTTTTTATGGGGGGCCAAGTCGTGGTAAAGTGTTTCTGTGTATGTAGCGTAGTTGTTTGACAAGCAT